TTCTACATATCAGTGGCTTTCATGCACATCACATTCAAAATCATTCAATCAGTCATTCACCTATTCATTTGGTCATTTATCATGTTTATCACTATCTAAGCCAAAAGAACGAAAGAATAGAAAAATTTTTACCTTGAAAATATGTTTATTTTTATACATGTTCAACTGTAAATCGTTCTAATATAAACTAAATATATATTTATATGTTAGACAATTACTCCTAAAGATTCGTTTTCAATTGGTAACAGTTAATGTTAATGAGGACTAAATTTAAATGAAGGCATTCTGATACCAGCCATCTAGATAGTAGCTAATCGTTTTACCATGAACATCATAATATTTAACAATGGCAGTAGGCTCAGAAACAAACAGAATAATATAAGTAAACAAGTCGATTGCTGGGTACAATTTTTCTTGTAATTCTATTGTGTAAATCATATGTTTCTACTAAAGCAAAATATGCACAAACAAAACTATAAAGATGTCTTGGTAATTGAGTATGATTCATTTAAGTACAATAAAACGTATATTAATTCTTTTATGGTTATAGTCGATACTTAACTGAATTTTATTATAGAAACAATATTATAACAATGATTGTACAGCTGTCATTGTATGACATTTTAATAACAAAATAATATAACAACGAAAATTTTTTTGCTCGGGTTTCATTTCCAACAAATTGACCAACAATGATCTGTTTTTCTTCTTTTATTTAATTATCTTGTATTATTCGAAAATAAACACGAAATGAAAAAAGATAAAATGAAACTTTCATATCTTGTATAGCTGTTAGTTGAATTCTATTTGTAAGAAAAAAAATAGCAGTAAGACATCTGAGAGAAAAATTGATTTCCTACTTCATTTTTTTGCTAAATTCAAAAAGACCAGAATTAGAAAAACCGTATCCTGGAATAAAAAAATTTTGCATAATATAAAAATGTCATATACAATTCATCAAGGTTTCTGTCATCACGTTCTAGACATGTTCACAACTAAACATCAAAGCCATCATTTTCTCAATTACAATATTCGGTAAATCGACGTGTGACAAGATTTATTAATATCAATGGATTGAGACCATGAACAGCAATAGAATATGTCCTTGTATCACAAGATACAAAAACATAATAAACATAAATTATAGAAGGATCAAGTTCATTTATTGAAACACATTGATCAAAACAAGATAAAAAAATTGGTCCATATTGAGAATCGGGAAGGTAAAAGAATGTGCCGACCTAAATATTCGATACATTTTTTATTAAATTACATGCGCATATAAATACAGAATAATAATCTGATATAAACTTATCAGTATTAAATGGTTCACGATAATATCTAAATTGTCAGATGAATTAGTTGCATTTATAAAGATATTTTTAGTATCTGATACTGTACTAAAACCTCGTCTATTTTTAGTAGTCAGTTTTGTATATTACTCATTATTTATCACTGAACAGACATTGTAAGATATTTACTTTTTTATTAGTCGATGTTTTCAATATGAAAAACACATTGACAAAGCATACATTATTATTCTTATTGATAATATTCTTTCAATCTGTTGTCTAATGCATTCATGTATATGAAGCTGTCTGATCGTTTGTCATGATTGATATAGATTTATAACCAATTTCGAGAGCAAGAACGGTTTTCGAGTTTCAACACATATGTAAAGTCAGTCCAAAAAATATTCGAACACTTCAGTCCATATCCACACTTCCTCAAAATTGACTTTGGTTTACGCACATGCAAATCGCATGAAATTTTCAGGATATATTTGTGGCTGTAGTGGAAATACTACGGTGAAATGTTTAGTCCTACATCATGATATTTAACAGAGATATTCACCGAATAAGAATCAATAATAGCGCATTTAGTAACCTAAATTCTCTGTGTGCCTTCATTCTATACATTTCGTTATCGTTTGTTTGAAAGAAACTAAATACGTATATAGAATGAAGGCATACGAAAAATGTAGGGCTACCAAATGCAATATTGTCAACTCTTCTCTAGTAAATATCTTCCTCAAACGTCAAAGTACAGAGCTAAAAGTATCCTGTAGCCTCTAGACTACAGTCTCTACATATTCTGAAAACTTTATGCGATTTGTAATTGTCTAGACCAAAGTCGATTTTGAGAAAGGTTAAGAATGGTCGGTAGGTATTCGAATACTTTTTAGAATGACTGTATATGCATAGTTTCTGTTCAATTAAATATTAAAAACTTTACACATCCATTCCTTGATCGACAACAGAACGAAAAACAGACTCGCTTTGTGAAGGATGCATGATTTCTTTGAAAATGTCTTGACTTTGGAAGTTCTCTTGGTTTCTTAATGGATGATACCATAGTAGTATAATACAAATCCACCTGTTAAATTCTATTTGAAAAAAAAAAGACTAATCATGTAAGCAACGCATAAGTAATATTGTAATAGATATGATATATTACAATTACTTCAATTTTAATGTCAAGATCACCTTTGAATTAAATATCTTTCAGAAGATAATAGTTTACAAATAATACTGAACTCAAATGCAGTATTTTTGCTATATTGACGTGTGTTTACACATCATATGCAAAAGAAAACAAAAAATAGTTCAACACAATCATAAATACGGTCACGATTAATCAATGTTAGACAAATAACACAGAAAAAAACCGAATGTCAACATAACTGCAAACAATGAAACAACAATCTTTCTTACCAAAAAAACAATTTCTATGCTGATGTTGAAATCGAGTATCAAGAACTTTCTTTTCTCAGTCAATACGAAATACTATACTCTGATGTTATTCATGGTCCTATTTGATAATCAAATATTGAAACTATTCGTAAGATTTCAATAACTATATTTTACACTTTTCCACACAACTGCTTTCTCTGTATGTAGAACACATTGTCACAGTTTATTCTTAATAATTAACTATAGTATCAAACTATTATCTGTACACAAAAAAAGAAATTTCGTTATTTAAAATAACCATTGAGTTCAGCAAGTAGGTAGTCATCATCTGTCATTAGTATTGACTTATTTACTTTGAATTTCTTCGGTTTACAATTCGGTTGATTAGTTAAACTAAGAAAATATAAAGACATTAAAAAAAAGTTTTATGTAAAAAAAAAAATCAAAGCTGTGTACCCGCAACAATTCATGTTCATTTTCATGGTTGATAGTGAACTCTAATTTTCTTTGTGAACAATCAAATATTGCTGTTTTTTGTTAGTCAATCAGTTCCAGATATTGTTCTTTGTGTTTTATTGACATCTAAAACAAATAGATGATTTCTATAACCTATCTTATGTACAAGGAATAAACTACTTACCAATTCGTTTGATGTAGACATTATAATCGATAATTAATATTCACAAATGTTTTTAAAATCCTTGACAATATAATAGTGAATCATTTGTCTAATTATTATATAGAAAGACATCAGTTAAATCGATCACATCAATTATAAACACATATTAACGTCAATTAGACATCATCATTATTGCATACTTTCATATATTAGACACTAACAGTGCATGAAATAAAGAATAATTTCAAATTAATAGAAATTTCTTGATGGATACAAGCATCATTTTTTTAATTAACTAGTTTTTTTTCTGCAAATTGTTTCTTTGTATTAGACGCAAATACATGCTCTTCCATGATGAAAACAAAATATGTACAATAGGTGACTCGAAAAAAACGTTGATTCTTGTCTACACATTTATAAATAAAATCAATAAATAACTTTATTGTGATTTGATACTTTGAAGAAAAACGCCAATTTTTTTTCATAGTTCCCTAATTTGTTCATTTCTGGCAAAATATGCGAGAAAGGAAAATATTGATTAATGTGTCTGTTTCCATGATGAAAGAAAACAAAGGAGAAATACAGATGCAATCATATTCAATTTTGATCTTTTATATTGAGTAAATATTTCTCAAACTACAGTCCTATAGTTGTTACTATATGTCATAATATGAAATGTGGAATCTTTCATTCTTGTCATTAGGTTCATGCGATGACATATTATAATTCTATGTACATTGTGTTCATATTCATTATCAGTCAGTAAGTTTTGCATTGAATATATTTTTCGTTTATCACTTGTACATTTTTATTTGATCGAAAAAAGTAAGTTTATTACTGACTGATAGTTCCACTTGTGCTATTATAGGTAACCATACATGATTGAATGTTTTCTTTCTCGTGTTAAACTAATGCGAACAGCATCGACATACATTTACTTAAAAAAATTTTTTTTTCATAACAAAGACACTCTAATATGTTAGATGCATTAAAATACAATAACAAGTTAGCTTTCGATGGTTGTGACTGTCGATGTTGGATTATTATTTAACATAATCGTTTGAGTGTCAAGTATGTTATGTGATGCGGCGAAGAAACACCGCCGAGCAGACAAGTGCTTCTCTTGTTTCTCTCTCTTTTCTAGTTGTTGACATATTCAAGGGGATAAAATGTCGTACTTCTTCGTCTTTCTCTCTCTCTTTCTTTCTCTTTTCCTAACTATAAATAAAAAATACAACAATTGACGTGTACATTATCATATTTTTCATTGCATCGTTTATCTGGACATACAACTACGTGATGCCAAATAAATTGTCAAAATTGCTTACATCAAAATCAGTGAAAAATACCCATTCTCCAAAAAAAACTACTGCTACTACTTCGTTCTATTCTGGTGTATCAGGTGCACAACGTGCTATACAACAACAACGGTATATTAATGAGAAAACCTTTTATGTCAGTATTCATGTTAATTTTTATGATTATTTAATTACTTTAGATTATTACGATCTCGACATTCCACTCGAAAGAAACATGATCTTGAACCTATAATCGAAGATGCACAAGAAAGTTGTGAAGCTCCAGTTCATTATCATCCATGGGAATCGGAATATCATAAAATAGTTACTCGGGAAAAATATATCAAATCAATGATAAAAGATTCATATACACCCACAGTACGAGTAATTTCTCACGCTGTTGAAGATGTAACAACTGAAACTGAATGTTGTCCTGTTTTGGTAGCAGCTGAAGCTGTAAAAATCGAAACATTCAATATAAAACAAGCACCTAGACGATCATCAGGTAATAATTTCATATTATTATCACTTTTTTTTCAATTAATATTTGAATTCTTGCAGTACCAAATATCATCCGTTACTTAAGACGTATGGAACAAATGCCGCTTGCACGACCTGCACCATCTCTAACTCCAGTAAAAATATCATCATCATCATTATCAGCTCAAGCACAAGATAAAAAACCAATCATTTCAGTGACAAATACTAGTAACATAGTTGGTACTGCTCCTAATTTAATTACAAAGGATCGATCATTAAATCGAGCTAAAACACATAGCGATGGATCTGTTATTCGAAGACCACCAAGAAAATTAGGTGTAAATTTTACTCATGAAATCATCATGCCACTATCAGTGTATGGTTGAACGAGACTCATTAACAATCCGTATTATTATTATTATTATATTAGTCAAATAATGCATATTCTATATTTTTTCCTGTTTTATTTCTTTCGTATTATCTTATCGAGACTAATTTTACTGTTTTTATATATCGAGAAGACAACAAAGTAATATTATATTGTAAATGAAACCATATTCAGTATTTTTATACAGTTATTGTAAGGGGAGTTAAATGAAACTGATTGATTTCTCGTAATGGTTTTTTCGAAAAATGCATAAAGAAATGTCTCATTAAAGTGTATTGTACAACTCTTTTTTTTTGTATATTGTTTTTTTTTTAATCTGAATTGATTAAAATTTCATCGTTTTATCAAAAGAACCCTCATTACGATAATCATATTTGTCGAATGTGATTTTTACAGTATAATATTGCTTCAAGTAATAATAGCTCCGGAGAAAAAAAACAACATTAAAACGTGAGTTAATTTTTTTCACTGTTGTTTTTTATCGACTGCCTGTATAGCCTGGAGTATTGTTAGATGATTTCTAAATGTTGTATTGAACTTTATAAAAACACTTGAATTTTAAAGTACACCAACTTTTTCAAAACATCATAAAAGTTCTTCAATTATAATGTAAAGAGCTCTTGAGTATTTTTGTTAATTTATAATAGAAAGAAACCTTCAGTAATGTAATGTTCAAGAGAAAATGATGGATGAAATGTTTTAATTAATGATAATTTGATGTCAACTTAAACGATTTTCTTTTTGATATTCTAGTACTTATATTAACATCAACATTTATTTATTAAGATTTGTAAGAAAAAAGAATTACACCAAAGAAGAATAGATAGAGTAATGATAAATATTCAATTAAAACATGATATGATGTTTTTCTTTTTGTAGTTTAGTCGATTGCTTCAGCCAAGAATGATTCATAAAGATTTTTCTAAAATGAGAAAAAAAAAACAGATCATATGATTAAAAAATATTAATAACAAAGTAAAACTTACTTGTTTAACACCGACGTTTGTTTCAAGATGATGTTTAAATGCTATAAACATTTTTTTTTCTCGAGCATTGAGAACATCTTTTTGACGGCTAAATATAATAAATAATAATTTATTATTTATGTATTTCAATAAAGTAATACTTTTTTATAAAGCGTCCAATAAAAAAAATAAGTCCATTAATAAATATAATTATTAATAATAATGGATAAGCTGGATAAAAAAGAAAATCATCAATTGAATTCTAATTCGAAATAAAAAACAAATTCGATAGTATGAAGATCAACACTTTATAAAAAAAAAACAAAAGTCTCACAAGAGTATAATTGATTTGCCATGATGTTGAAGACTCATCAAGAAATAGAATTGGAATTTTTAAATGAGACGTTTCAAGATAACGTCTTAAAAGTAATATGAATGAAAGTATAACAAGTAATAATGAAATAAATTGAACAATTGATAATTTAATATTCCATGATCGATGTTTGACTTTAGTTTTTCTAATAATAAGATTAACAATATATTGACAAAAATATAAACACAAAAAAAGTTAATAATAAAATTCCCATACTCATGTAAAACTAATCGTTCATTAATACATTGTTCCAATCGTTGACAATCGTTATGCAACGTATTAAGTGATTTTTGAACACCACTGAATACAGCATGATCGATTGTTGTACAAACTTCATGGATTTGATTTGTACAGCGTGTCTCCTGAGAAAAATATTTATTGATAATAAATATCTCGGAAGAAAATACACTTCAAGATCTATAAAATTGGTGACTTTGTCTCTCAAATAGGTTTTATCTTGCCAACAAAAAATTTAGAAGAATAATATCTATTTAGTCATTTAGCTGCGGTTGTCACGAAAATAACTGATGATCTTTTTTTAGCAAAGGTTCGGTGAGTGTTAAACTATCTTGCGAAATTTTCTTTAAAATTCCATATATCCGCACGAATGTTTCAGAATCTTCTACTTGTAACATTGTTGTTATGTAATTCGAAAAATCCGAAATATTGTCATGATTCAATCTGATATTTATAACATTATGTTCAAAATGAAATTCTAAATCTAACACTATAATAATAAATATTTCATAGAATATGTCTAGCTTTTTAAAACATGTTTTTCTAAAGTAGACTAAATAAAAACATCGATAGTTGTCAGTTGCAAGTCTTTTCTCGTAAAAATTAGTCTCGACAAGCTTGAAAAGATTATTCTGTGGCATACAGCACAAAATTCTGTATCTATTAATATTAAGTAATTTACTCTTGGCATCAGTTTTGATGAGCAAAAGTTTTACACAAATCCATAAGCGTCATCAGAAAATAGGGGAATCGCAGTGTAAAGACTGAGTAGACATGATTATTTTAAATTTGGCATTGACATGATGAACTTCGTTTTTGGAAAAAAAGTTGATAATTTTGTACAGCGTGAAATTCTCTATCTTTTATCATACCAAGCAAATTTCCTATGCTTAGAAAATAAGAGAAAAAAGCATCAATATCTAGTGTAATTTATTCTCAGATATCCATTATATTTTAGTATGATATATTGTTTTACTTTAGCCAAATTAGGTAAATAAATAGTTGGCATATCAAAATTCGTTTTGGAAATTTCTGGTTGTCGACATAAATTTTGTACAATTTGCATAAGAACGCGATGTCGATCACGATCACTACCAGCTTCATCAGCTTTAGCTAAATAATAATGCATCTTTTCTGGATTGGATTTATTTAATTGTTCAACAAGAGTTAATGTTCGTTTACATAAAGCTTGACCAATAGGATCGAATAAAACAAATATAAGATCAACATGATCACCTTAGAAAAAAAGCAATATCTTTGTTTTGAGAAAACAACAAAGAAAATTTTCAGTACAAACCAAGCCAAAGAATTGCTTGTTCAACATCGAATGGATATGCCATAGCACCATCAACAAGACCAGGTGTATCAATAAATGAAACAAGTGGAAACTTCTTTTGTTTCGATGAAGATATTTCCGTAGTTAAATAGTTAAGAAGACCTAGAAAAGAATTCATAGGAAAAATATGAAAAAGAAATAACTAACCAGGAATGTTTCCCAATGGATGAAGATAAGGAAATAAACGCATTGTTGCTGGACCCTAGGAATTAGTCGATATATATATATTTAATCTGTTTATGTTTATTTGTTTATGTCTTTGACGTTACCATGAGGGATTCTCGTCTTTTACCACTTGTAATAATAGAAACACCTGTGAATGTAAATGTAATTATCACAACTGATACTTTTATTCCAATTGATTTACCTTGAGTTTCAATAGCTACTCCAGTACGTTGAACATTATCTTCAATATACCAATTGACAAGAGATGATTTTCCTTTTTATTTCGAAAAAAAAAACTAGATCTTCTATATATCAATAACAATAAGAACGATTTACCAGCACTATGATTACCAATAAGTAAAATACTGATCTTCTTATTTGGTGCCATGATAGATAGACCAAGCCATCGGGCAATTGTAACAAGTCCTAAACAGATTTGAAATATAAATCTAAACATAATAAATAAAAAAAAAGAAGCCGAACAACCTGTGTCAGGATGATGATAAATATTTTCAATTTCATTGACGATCTGCTCATAATGAGGTGTAATCATACGCTCCATTGATTCTGGTAAAGTGCTGCTACTTTTACCATTATTCATCAGCGTAGAAGTCATTGATAATGTCAGTATAAATCTAGTTAGTCTTGAGAAAAATACAAATATGAATCGAATATATTAACCACACCACTGATGAGATAGTACGTACAGATAGACAAAGTGATTGAATCATTTTTTATTCGAGCCATTGTTCTACATTTGTTGATAGAAAAACTACTGGAAGATGTCGTGCATTATCACTAAGAAATTTTATCATTTTTCTGACACAAAACATCATTTTAAATTACTAAAGAATCAATAGTAGATATGTTTTAGAAACATACTTATCTTCGTGAAAAGTTGTTTAAATTCATTGAAAAATCACCATGCTTTCAGTTGATATTGTTGATCATTTTCATATAAAGCTTTGTCTATTAAAACAGACCACGTAGTATTATTCGTATTTGCGAAAACAAAGAATTATTTGTAGAGAAGTTAAGACTGATATAGGTGAGAGTATTTATCTTTACAATGAAGATGCATCTTAGAAGATCTTTATCCAATCCGAAAAGAAGGTAATCTGTAATGGTTGTTCATTTTTCAGAATAAACCAATGTATATATAGACATATAACTTCAATGAACCATACCATACGATAACAATGTTTTTAACAGGAAACATTGATAGAAGGCTATAAACGTGCTGCTTTGAGTAAAAAACGGAGCGAAACAAATTGACTACAATGTTTAAATTTCTCAGTAAATTATTCTTCTTTATGTGAAAATTATGCAACAATTGATTGCGATTCCAGTATGTATATATAAAAACATAAATTTATTCTTCATGTATACGCGTATATTTAGGTTTGATAGTGTTGTGTGAGAAATTACTTCATCTAATAAAAAGTAAGCATTAGTATTTTCATCAAGTTTTCGATTGAGATGTCAACTGTTGATCAATAATTATTATTAAATTAATATAGATCATTCCAAATGCAGTTATAATCAGTCATACTTATAAAATTTGGATAAATATTTCAATTTTTGAATTATTCTTTATTAAAGTAAGTTTTACTATGATTTTGTCATTAGATTTCCAAACACTAGTACCGAGTGCAAAAAAATTGACCCCTCGAGATTGAAATGCAACTAAATGTTAATTTATAATTACAAAAGAACATAATTAGATAATAGCAGTAACAATAGTGAATGTACAATATATACAAGAATAGTTTTACACAATCTTACAATTTAAAATTTAAATTAAACAATAGTTGTTATTTTTCATCTATTTGGACCTGTTTCGTTTATCATATATTTGAAAATTTAATTTTAACAGTCAAGGTATTTGTGATGAAAGTTATATACAATAGTAGAATGGATAACATAGTCTGTAGATACATGTTGTAATGTAATGGTTATTTTGTGCATGAATTATTATAATTTGTGAAAACCTTGCCATTGTTTACAATGTTTTCAAAATTTTTTAAAATCAGAAATTGTCAAAAAAATGATTTGATTTCAAACTTTCTTTATTTTAGTTGAGAAAGAATAAAATAATTTTCCAGTTTTATTGTATTAAGTTGCAAATGAATTACACTACATACCACATATATTGTTATCGTTTGTTTCTTTTTCTTATAGCGATGTGTTTCTCAAATACTCCTAATGTTACGTCAAACTCTTTTCTTCACAGGGTAAATATATTCTCAATGAAGTTTGAATTCAACAAATACATAATCATTCGATTTTTTGTTTTTACTCACTAGTGCCCTATGAGGACGGATTTTCTCGATTTTCATTTTTGTGTACTTGTAAAGGAAGGTTTTACCCACTCCTGTAAGCGAAAGTGTAAACCAATGAGTAAATCAGCGGCGATGATTACGTTTAGTATCACTTCGTTTTTGATTCGGTAGCTACAGTGATTGAATGCTTTGGAAGATTTCTTGAACATTTTCTATTTGAAAAACTTTTCACATGAAGAAAAGGAAAAAATGATAGAGATCGAACCAATAATAGAGTAGAGAAATATATTTTTGAAAAATGATCTTAAGAATTGTAAATTTTTAAAACTCTACTAAGGAAATTTTGTTCCGAGAGTGACAACTTAATTGGTCGACTTATACCTGAAGGGAAAACAATAGAGACCTGTGTTCTGAAGTCTATCGAAATATTTCAAAAGTCCCATGAAGTCTTTTGAAAATTTCAGAATACATTTAAATCATGTAGAATTCATGAAGACACCGACTGATTGAGATAGTGTTTAAGAAAATACATGAGCAAAAATCTTCTCATCGGAATGCGTCTAATCATATCATTCTGTACGCGCTCGTCAATATCTCTATCATTGAAAATTTCTAGAAGTTCAGAAGGTACCTATCGATGAAGTCTTCAAATAGTCGCTCTTTCTCAAACTTCGATAGTTTCAACTAAACCTTTGTGCAGTCCTTTAAAAACCATCGTACAACTTATAAGTCATAGTGTGTTCGAAAATAAACAATATGGGCTTATCTAACTCTGTGGAAGTCTTAAAAATGGAATTGTTTTTGACCGAAATCGTCGTCCCTGAGTGAGAAGTGGAGCTTATAAGATATAAAAACAAGGAGACAGAAAACATACACATTCGTATCATTCATTTCTTCTTTCTTCTTCCCGTAACTCGAGCATGCGTTGGTCAAGGTATCCTTTCTTTAGTAGCCCACAATCGCACACTTCATTGCAAAATATAATCAAACAAATACTAAAAAAGTTGTTGATGGAAAAAATCGAAATTTACTTACATCAATCAGCGTGACACTAGAAACAGTGAAAAATAAATTCAATACAATTTAAAAATGATACTTTGCTTTTCATATATTTAAGAATGCAAGTATCTATCCATATTGAATGTGTGTATGTGTGTAATGAAAAACCCCCTCATAAGTAAACTCCTTATTTTTCCAATGCATACTTACAAAAATTCATTTTTATATAAATAGAACATATTTTTGTTCCTAGAGAATTTCTAGTAGAAATCAGTTAATCCTACAAGTACTTTTCATTTTATTTTAATTGTTTTATTTATCTTGACAAAAACTTAGATCGATTGAATGCCTTTTACTTATTCGAACTTTTCCCATATCTTTATCAAATCGAAACTGCTTATTACTAATAAGCGTCACTATAAATCAACATTCTCAATGTCATTTATCATACACTAGTATGAACAAACGTTCTAATAGATACAAAGTCGTTTTTTATTGTTGCCATACACACACATACATTGACACATATAGAAAAGAAAATTACACGATGACCCAATAGAATTTTTCTGTATGTTTCATATATTTTTCAAGAGAAAGACAATGACAAACACTTGTACGAAGAGCAAAAAGAAGACCAAAAAAAGTTCGTCATCAACAGACAACTTCGAGGAGTAGAAAAAAGAAAACAACAACAAAACAAAAAAAATAGATACATTTTGCAATTTGCTGATGAATGTTTGTCGCATTTGCTGGAACAATCTGTTCTATGGAACAGAACAACTTTTTTTAATATGGATTAGAGCGATTGTCTCTGCTTGAACCATGGCTTGCACCACGACCACTACCACGATAGTCTCCGCCACCACCTCGATAATCACCGCCACGATCTCCACCTGATATGAAATAAACGCAATCATATCGATGAAGAGAAAATAAAGAATACTCACCTCTACCGCGATAACCTCCATAATCACCACCACCTCCACTGGCACCACCGCCACCACCACCTCCTCCTCCTCCTCCTACAAGAACGAATAAAAAATATATATTAACATTGAAAACTATTGCCATTTAATTTATGTAGGTTTACCTCGACCACGGAATCCACCACGACCACGAAATCCACCTCGACCACCAAAAGCAGAAGCACGCCGAGTGGCTAATGAGATTTTAACAATATTTGAGAGAACTTCTTTGTCTATGTTTATGAAACAGTTAATATAATATTTGAAATAAAATAGATAAAAAGAACCTTACCATTATACCAATTAATAGCAGCTTGTGCTGCTTCTTCATCTTCATATGTAATTGTTGCTTCCCCTTTACCTTCTCCAGTTGCCTTGTCTTTATAAATCCAAATTTTCGGTGCACCTGTTTTTTTATCATTCTATCGATGGAAAACATAAGTTTCCGTCATATATATATCTATACAAATTAAAAGAATATCTTACTTTAATTACTCCAATTTGACTGAATACGTCTCTAAGTTCTTCACTAGTTACGTTGCGTGGTAAATTCTGAATAAAAATTGTATCTCGTTGCGTTTCCATACGCTGATCATCTCCACCGTAGCCACCACCACCATTATCATTGTGGTAGTCATTTCGACCACGATTATATCCACTGCTACCTTTATCATCATTTTGATAGTCGTTGCGACCACGATTATATCCACCACTACCACTATCATCATTGCTACTTTGATAATCATTTCGACTACGATTGTAGCCACCGCCGCTTCCAGAACCTGCACAGAGGACAAAGTGTGTGCTGGTGCCATTCATCATCCTGTATGAAGTGTCAATTTTTGAAGTTCCAAAAACCGACATACAAGACATGAAAAAAATTTTTTACCTCCACCGCCACGTGAATTATAATCAGAAGTTCTTTTTTGTCCACTGTAAATAGCAATGAATAAGTAAACAAATTAATATTAAAAGAATATAAATCAAACTACCTGTTATTATCATAACTATTTCGACTACCACCTGACCGTCCTGAATGATAATCATTACTTGAATAACTACTAGACATACGAAAAATCGAAATATGTCAAACAAAAAAATAAAAAATGTATTGATGATGAACATCTCACCCTTCACCACCACCGGAATCTTTGCCGTAACCGGACATTTTATGGAAAACTTAATATATAAATCTGAAACGTATATTCAAGAGAAAACAAAAGAAATAATTTTTATCTTAATAAAACGAAAAGAAACAGAGACCAGAAAGTAAACATCACTGTCCGTTGCCCAATACTGTTGCACACACAATGGACATAATCAAGTAACGAATCATTAAAAAGAATTCAAAAACGAAACAAAAAATACGACGAATATAAACTCAAACAAAACTATACTTGTAGAACAAATTAAAATTATTTTAATATATGATACAAAAAAAATATTTCAAAAAGAAAAATATATGCATTCTATGTCTGACAACTATCTCCATCTATCCACAAACCAAAGAGAATTTACAAATTTTATGTTTTATATTTATAACAAAAATAATAAATATGATTAGGTTACATGAGATTTTGGTGCTGCCTACGGCTATTATTTATTGCATAAAAAAAACAAGCAAATATTATATAATGAATTATTTACAAAAAAGTCCAGTCAATGTTCTTCTTCACTAACTGTCGAATGTCGTGTTGGTCTTTCCTCTTCTATTTCTTCTTCTTCATCACTACCTGTCGTATTCTTAGCAAAAATCAATCCATTACGAGTTAAACCGTAGAAGGTTGATGGTTTAAGTGATGAATTACGAAAACGCCAACCAAGATGATTACCACATAAACGACATTGAACTATTGTCCACTTATATCCAGGAAACCATGAATGTTCAGCTACTTCAGGACCAAGTAGACGAATATTTTTTGCTTGAAGAACAGTTAATGTTTCATGAATTTGTCCATGAGGATTCACATATGCTGCCATTAATCCTGTCGCAGACATTGAAAATATATCACGATCTTCGCAAATATCTGCTGCACAATGACGACAAGCAAATTTTTTATAACGTCTAAGCCAAGATAAAACAAAACGTACTAAAAAGAAATAGAAAGAACAAAAACAAAAAACAAATTTTATTTATTTTTGCAATATTAATAACAAATGCTTACATCTTTGAATAGTTGTAAGAAATGATAAAATTTTTTGTATGGTTTGAATTTCAAAAGGAATATTAATTAATAACCAATCAGCAAAATGATCTGGTGTTACAGGTAATGAACCATCATCATTAGCTAGCATTGTATTACTTAATTCAAGTTTAATTAATGACATAATATATATATCATCATATCGACGTATAACCCAATATGGATAAGGTGTTAAAGACCAAGGACATGTACGAGAACGCATACGAAATAAATGTTGTTTTGAAACATTGGGAAGTACTAGACCTAAAACAGAAAAGAATAATTTATTTTTAAAATTGATTAAATTCTTTTCGTCTACTTTTTGTATCATGTGAAGCTGTTGATGATGATGATGATGTTGTTCGTTTTCGTTTAATTAAATTAATTAATGCTTGACCACATCCAATAGTTGGTTGTTCATCATCATTAATATATTTTTGATTAAAACGTTTTTGTCGTTGTAAACATAAATCATATTGTAATACAAAATTAATTGTATGAATATAATTTTGACTTATAACTGGTAATGGTGGTCGTTTTAATTCCATATCAGGTAAAATTCTTACATAAGCACGAAGCATACCATTTAAATCACGTTTCATTGTTGATGGATCATCAATAATAAAACGCTGTCGACCGATAATTTTTAATTGTAATGAATCATCATTGGATTCTTCATAATAAGAAACAATTTCAGCTGTTGTACCATATTTTGGATCATTTGTTATTAATGATGAACATGCATCAATAACACCAAATAAACGATTTTCTTGTTTAGCCTCTTTAATCATTCGTGCTGTACGTGTATTAAAAACTTGCCAGGGAACAGTTTGATTTGGTATTAAAATCATATTTGCTAATTCAACAATATGTAAAAGACAACGACGGTCATCAGATAATAAACAAACACCACTAAATTCTTGAAAATTTTCAACATTCATATATGAATGTGTTGTTGGTAAGAGACGATCATACGTTATCGTACCATCTTGATTTTCCTCACCAGATGATGCTTAAAATAGATAGTAACTATTAGATTTTCTCTTTGACCAGACGTTTTTTTCTTCTCATCGAGATATTTTATGGAGAATAGAGTAATCTTAATATAGAGAATAAACGAATAAGAACTTAGTTCATATATGATCAATGTTCATCTACTACATCTAATGTGCTATTTGGCTGATATAGTAGATACCAAAATGATTCTACAAGATTTATTTTTCAATTTTTTGTGTTACCCTAAGTGCTAGAAAGAATCCAAATAAGGACCTGAATAGAGAAGATGGCTTCTAACAAGAATATGAGGAAACAAAAATTATTATCAGATTTCCAATGATAAGGACTCTAAGAAACACTAAATCACTAGTTTTCAAAACCTAGCATGGGTAAATATACTGTTGCTCAGACTGCAAAGTACAATTGAACAAACGATTCTCTACAAAATGAGACATCTCTGTGTTCTCTGCGACATATGGCAATCTTACGGAGATTCCTAAAATTGTTTTTTCCAATTTCTTATAGAGAAATCATTTTTTTGACCTTCAAAAAAACTGCTGAATATCAGCCAAAAAAAGTCACAGAGAACTCGACAATGTTTCATTTTGTAGAGGATGTTCTGCTTTGTCGTTCTATATAGTCTAAACGAAATTATGTTTACATATTCCAAGTGTTGAAAAACTAAGATTTTTGCTACTCTGGAGTTCTCATCTTTGCAAATCTGATAATAATTCTTATTTTCTTATATCATCTAAATCTGACTGAATAATTTTGGTGCTCAGTCTAGATCGAACTTAATGAATAAATGACTGTTGCTTGTTTTAATGATTGTTTTTTTTTTGTCAAATCTTACCGACTTCTGCATCCTCCCAATCTGCATTCTCATCATCGTCATCATCATTATCATTATCCATGTCTCCTAAATCTTCACCGCGATTATTTAAATCGAGTAATAAATGTCGTTGAATATTACGTATTTGTTCTATTAAAATACAAGCAAGTGTATTAAACTACAAAAAAAAAGAAATAATTTTATTGTTATACCTTGCAAACGATTGAGTTGTTCTTGTTCATGATTTAGATGATTTTCAAGAACATTCATTCCTTGTTCATCATCCGCATCATCATCTTCATCTCCTATTGGTTGTTGTTCAATACCTTCCCAAGGATGTAATGCTAATGGAGGTATTTGTGGAAAACGTCTTCTATTTTCTTCATCTAAATCTGGTTGTTGTTCGACAGCATCTTCAAAACCTAATGGAGGAGCATCTCCATCTAAAGTTAAATTATATTTAAAAAGAAATATATTTGTTCTTTTATATACCATGTGCTTCATCAGGAGGTGCATTGTTATTGTTATCATTCGAAGTCATATTTATCTAAAGTTTATTGAAAAATTAAAATGTCAACTATAAACATAATTGTTTTTTGGAAACATCGGGTTTTTTATTTTTTTCTTTTTGAAAAATCAACTAATAAAAAATTATCAGATGCGCATACAAAAACAAATTAACTAATTTGTTTTAAACGTTGTTGACGTTTTTTCTCTAAATAATCTTCTACATCACACAATTCTTGTTGATGAGCTTGATATTCAGCTTCTGCTTTAGTTATAAAATCTTTATAATCTTTCATGGGATTTAGCCAAACATGAGCAGTTTGAGAACCAATTATGAATGCTATAGTATTGACTACAGATAAATAGAAAATACGACGTAACGGATTCATCATTCTAAAGAAACAAATATTCATTAGTAAATTAAACAAAAGAAATAAACATCTTGTTTTATTTTTTTTTTTTTTTTACAAACCAAATTTTTAAAGTATTTATTAGGTTTTAACTATTGGATATTGATGATGATGGGGGTGATTGAAGAGAAATTGTCTTTAGATATTCTTCAAGTTGATGTTTTTTCGCAACAAATTCTTGTGCTTGTTTACGTTTATAAACGTCGTCTATTTAAAATAAAAATCATATTGAAAAAAAAAAAAGAAATCTTTTATTTTTTGAAAAGCAGATAACTTACAGAAATTAATATTGTTAATACGTAGTTTACAAAGAACAATTTCAAAAAGAAAACCAGCTGCAAAGAAAATTGGTGGAAAACGCCAATTACCAAGAAGTTTTTTTCCTGGAATAGAATTTGATATAACAAAAGCTATGAATCGAAAATCTGGCAATTTAGCACGAATTTTTCTGAACATAGTATAGAAAAAAACTTCGTAAAAACAAGTAGAAACATTCCAATGAGAATTTGCATCATAGAGTTTTTAATGGTTCGATTTTATACCAATCCTAATACAAAAAGAAACCAAACAAACAAATGTATGCTCTCCTCTTTCAGTTAGAAAACGGATATATCTGGCGTCATCTGCACTTATCTAATTTGGTTGTAGTATTAATGCGGGATTTTTCTCGTTAAATGAATTTTTTTCTCATTTTCAAAAATAACGAATTAAACGTTAGGAGGGAAATTTAACGTGCTACTTACGTCTTTTAAAAAGAAAAAGTTACTATTTTGAATATTTTAGATGGATTCATCAATGGAACGACCACAATCACCGCTTGTTGTTTTTGGACCAAATCATATCGATACAAGTCGAGCTGAAATGTTGGTACAATGTTTAAGTAATTGAACAATCAACTATTTTTTAGAATTTCATTAATTTCTATTGTCTTGTAAAGGTAATAAAATTAAAGAAAAACGATTTAAACTTCAAAAAATGGTTGGAATTAATGAAGGTGATTGATTAATGAAGTTGTTTTCTTTTGCAATTTATAAGAATTTTTTTATTAAAATAGAAAAGAAAAAACGTAATGAATCGATGGAAAATGAAAAGGTACAATTAACAACAAAATTGGCAAATATTGAACATGAAAATTCTATTCGTGAACAACAACTTCAATCTGAACAACTTCGTATTAAAGAATTTCAATTTAATATTCAAATGCTTGATGACCATAATAGTATAACAAAAATAATAGAAAACATGATTCAATTTTTGGATTTTGACAAAAAAAAACATTTGCTCTTTTTTCAATGTTAGATTCGATCAAACGTGATTGTACAAATGAAGAACGAAAATATGAACAAGAAAAATCATTACTTATTAATAAATTTGAACGTATCAAACAACAATGGACTGAAATTTTCAAACCACAGTTCGTATTTCCATATATTTAATTCTATTAAACTTCCTCACAAACTAGAAATCCACTTAAATCCATTCATCATTTTTCATTATTCAGTTGTAACTTCTATGATGCATTTTATTTCATCTCTTCTACTTGTTTTTCTATTAACGAACAAACGAATTTGTTTCGTGAATGGAAAAATGTGTACATACGGACATTTATGAGAGACAACTGTTCAGAAACTAACGAATAGGAGATTGGTACGCTTTAGTGTAATTCTGTTCAGCTTCTTTCTAATATGAGATTATAGATCGTCTAGAAATGAAACGATGTAGATTTTTATTAAGGTGGCAAAAGTATGAACAAATCTTTAAGTGAAAAATGAGACATCTCCCAAAACTGAACGATCGTCAGTCGATTGTATGCGAAGGGTTTTCAAACTCAATGACATGTACCAGTATAAGATGATTACGATATCCATTATTGAAAAATTCATAAAAGTGAGAAGTTTTCATTTTTTTCATAAATGATTCACTCTATGCTTCTTTCAAGATAATTGAAATATATGCCCTTGCGTTTCTGAAATGTACATAAGCTTCTAGGATAACGTCATTTTGCAGAGCAGTGTCCGTAAAAGTTTCATAGAAGTTTCTTTTTTTAACTTCTCTGAAGTTCGATAGTTTCTCCAACAGAATTATTGCAATCAAGGCGATTTAATGCATCTATATTAAAGATCCACGAATTCTTGATGATAGAAGAATGTATGAATTAGACAAATAGTTCAGTGAACGTATCGATCAAGTTATATGATAATATGAAAGCAAAGAAGTCAATTTTTAGTTCATCAGTAACTATCATAGCTCGTAGCAAAATCCTTAGATAGTTTGAAGGTTTCAATCTATTGAATCTTGTGCACTTCAATGTTTGTAAAAGAATCAAATCATAGCTAGAACACAAAAAAAAATTGGGTACAATATAAAATCTATAGATCCAAACTTTTGATTTGGGAAAGAAAATAGAAGTTTAGTATACGACTATTTTGTGTGGACAAGAGGAAGGATTATTGCATGTTCATTTTAAATTTACTTTAGATATGAACAATCAAAAGTTTATCAATATTTAAAACAAGGTGATTTATCTTATAATTCATTTGTTGAACGTAGAGATACATTACTTAACAAACAAAAATTAGCATATAATGATTATTTAACACGTCGTCAAGAATTTTGTAATAAAAAAAAACTTCAATTATCAATTTTATCTATTGCTAAATATTTTATTTGTCGACGTAATCAATTAATTAAAATTAAAGAAATGAAAGAAAAATTAATTGAACTTGAAAATAAACAAAAACAATTAATGGAAATTAAACTTGATAAAATGAAAGCATGGGAAAATGTTTATACACAACCCATAAAACGTGATTTATTGGATTTTTGTTTACATAATAATATTGAACAAGTCTTAACACTTTCATTTAATCAAATACAACAAGATAATTGGTCACAACCAGCCACACCAATTGCATCACCATCAGTTTTAACACTACAAAATGAACAAATTGAATTAATATCAGAAGAACAAACTAATAATAGTAAATCATCTGTTACGTAAGTTGATTATTTCTTAGAACATATCTTTTTCTTTTGTTTATCTTATTCCATCGATTCATAAAAGATGTTTAACTTAAGTCATCTTCAGTTGTGAGCTGTTTCTCTTTTTTATTGTATAACACATACATTACTAATGTCAATGTGTATTAAATTGCTATATTTGAAAAATCTTCACGACGTATTAATCTCATCTTGAAGTTGTATGAACAAATATCTGAATATCAATTATTTCAATTTGTTTTATTCGAAGAATAATTTATTCATAAAACTTATTCTTAGATTTCAATCACCAACATCGATTATTCATGATGAAACTCTATATCACGTTGTTACACCATCACCAACTCAATTAATTGCTTCAACAATAACAATTGTTCCGAACATGACAAAAGATGTACCTAAGGAGTCAAATCGTTCATCAGTACTTCATCTTACAACAGCTATTGATGATAATGATGATGAGTTATTTTCGAAATCTCATCGAAAAATACCAACAGTTCAAGTAAGAATTTTAAAATAAATCTATTTTGTTTTCAAATATAAGAAAAATAGATGGAACAAATGACCATTAATGACGTTTCACCAAGTACACAAGCATTTATAGTATCAACAAATGTAACTAATTCAAATATAGATGTTGATCAGGAAGTGTCATCTATATCTCAAAATGATCAATCATTTACACAAGCATTTCCTATTGTTGCAATACCTAAACCATTTGAATCAACATCTACACGTGATCTTGTTACACCAACAATAAATATTCAAGTTCCTGAATCGATATCAATTCCATCTACTACTAATACTAGTGTCAATAAATTACATTCAACTATAACATTTCAAATTCCATCTTCACGAATTCCAAATCAATCAGCTACATCCTCTATTCAACCTCAAGTGACAAGTAATGATGTACAACAAATGTTATTAACATTTTCACCAGATTCATCATCAATGAATGAGGAACAACCACAACCAATGGAAGATGAATCCGAACAATTACAACAACAACAACAACGACCTACTTTTTCAATGGCTTCGTCTATTGAATCAACTGCAAGTACTGAAGAGTAATATCATTGTTTTTATTCATATATATCAATATATTTATTAAATAAACGATGAACTTGATCTTTTTAGTGGCTATACTGGTTTTAACTATAATTTTGGTTTTGATGGTAGTACAACTGGTGATGCTACTGTTGATGCTCAAGGTTTTACATCACCAATTAATTTTGGTAATTGGACTAATCTTGGTTCACCCATAAGAACTAATTCTAATGAACAATTTCCTGGATTTTTGCAACAAACAAGTAATAGTGATAATGGTGTAGATACATCTTTTTCATTTGCTTCATTTAATTTTGGTGGTATGTTTCTTATTTCACTTTTATTTGAATTAAAGTTTTTCTTTTGTGATCGATATTCGATGTAGGTGGTAATGAAACAGCAACTGATGGAACATTTGGTTCATTCTTTTTTGGCAATAGTGGAAGTCCAATGAATACAGAAGTTCATGATGAAAAAAGAAATTAAACATTGAATTTTATTTTAGTTATTTTCTTTATGTTTTTTATGCTGTAAATATATAGATATATTTGCCAATTTTGTTATCGAAAAGAATATTTTATTGTAAATAATACTATTTATTTTATTTTATAGTACAAGAAAAAAAAATAATAAAATTAGAAGATAGTCATCATGATATTATTTTCTTTTTGTTTTGGCTTTGTTAAAGAAAAAAAGATTTTCATCTGTTGTTTTTACCAAATTTCGTCATATTTTTAAAGGATCAGAAAAAAAATGTCGCACAATACAATCATTAGGCGATTAACGAAAAAAAATTCATCAATAAGGAAATCAAGGAAATATCATTCTTTAACACGAAGAGAAAATAAATTGACATTTTTTTGGAAGATCGAACTACTTATGTACTCGTTGAATTTATTAAGATTTTGAGCTTGTAAACTTTCTATATAATATGTCTTGAATATTTTCCTATTGAATAAATTATATTGACCTCTATATGAAAGAAATGATTTTCCTAACATCTTGCGTCATCTCAAATATCTTTTAACAAAAGATCGACTAAAGAATATGTGAACGAATAGAATTTGATTTCTTTCTTAGGCATTTTCGACGTCCGGTTCTTTATCTTTATTAGCTATTTATTTCGCTGATTTTCATATACAACGTTACATAACGATCATGTCGAAACAAGCGTTTGAACAAGCGAACGAAGCTTTTGTTGACGAGAAATATGAAGAAGCATATGAAGTTCGTTCTTAAATAAACCATTATCTTTTCTTTCATAATAAAACATTTATTATTTAGTTTTATACAAAGGTTCTTGTGAATGATGATAAGACTGATCATCAATTTACTTCTAAAGTCTTGGCATCACGTGCTCAATGTTCATTAAAATTAAAAAACTATGCCGGTAACGTTGCATTAGTTTTTTTCGAAGCACATACAATTATGTTGTTATGTTACTTTTTTGTTCTAGAGGCATTAAAGGATAGTAATGATGCCATTGAATTAGATGAAACAAATATCAAAGCATATCTTCGTAAAGGTGTTGCATTATATAATCAAGATTTAAAAGAAGAAGCTCGGCAAGTATTTGTTCGTGGACTTGAATTTGATTGTAAGTTACCAGATTTCATTTCGTTTAATAAAAATATATATTCTATTCACTTTTTTTTAGCTACTAATGAACAATTGAAAGTATGGCAACAAAAATGTGAAAAAGAATTAGCAGGTATGGGATCTATCTTTCTTGATAGATTAATTTATAGTTTTATTACTATGCAGAACAAAAATCTGTTCCTATGGCTGTTTCTGTTGAAAAAGAAAAATTAACTACGAATACTACACCTGTTGTTCCTTTGCCACCAGCAAAAATTAAGTATGTTCCGTACTTTTTAGATAGTGTTTCTATAACTATTTATCGGTTATTGTTTTTAGACATTCATTCTATCAAACGGACAGTGTTGTTACTATTCAAATTCCTATTAAAGGTCTTAAAAAAGATCAAGTTCAAGTTCAATCAACAGATACAAATGTTTGTATATCTTTATTATATTTCAAGTTGATAACATTGAATGCTAATAATATTTTTGTTTAGATTAACATCAAGACAAAAATACCTTCTTCAGGTCAAGATTATTCACTTGAACTTGATCTTGCTTATCCAATTGATTCATCACGTACAACTTTTAATGTTACTGGTTCAAATGTAAGAAAGATATGTTATATTTTTGATTTTCTATATGATGTTCTTTGTTTTCAATGATAGATCGAAATCAAATTATATAAACGAGAAGCTATCCAGTGGACATCATTGGATGCTCAATCAACAACAGCTAAAGCTCTACCACCAGGTACAATATCGTGAACTGATTTATTTGTATCTTTATATATTTTATTTCTAGTTCCAATGAGTCGACCTTTACTTGAAAAAGCACCAACTTATCCATCATCAAGTCAACGTGCAAAAAATTGGGATCAATTGGAAGCTGAAATAAAAAAAGATGAAAAAGAAAATAAAGATGATATGGGTGATGCTAATGCGTAAGATATATTTTTCTTTTGGTTTTATGGTATTTTTATAAAGATCTATATTTTTCTAGTATTTTTCAAAGATTATATCACGATAGTGATGAAAATACACGTCGTGCAATGAACAAATCAATGGTAAGTTTATTCTAATTTTTTTATTTTTTAAATTATGAAATAGTTGAAATATTAATTTTTAGTATGAATCTGGTGGTACATGTTTAAATATGAATTGGGAAGAAGTATCTAAAGGTCGAGTCACGTGTGAACCACCTGATGTTAGTTCATTTATTTTCTTTGTTTTAATAATCTCAAGTTTCTTTTATTCGTTTAGGGACTGGAATGGAAGAAATATGATTCATGAATGGAATTTATAAAGAAAGAGACTTAATTTATTCATATTTCAACAGATAATTTTTTTTTTCCATTGTTCATATTCTTATTCAACTAGATATTGAAAAACTTTTTTATTTTGTATCAATTTTCATTATGATTGAAGTATCTAGCTCTGTAGTGTTATTTCATGTCAGTACACAACTACTTTTTCTTTTGTTGTAACAAAGTTAAGAAAATAAACAAGAGCCATAGTCTAGCCATTTATTTCATCAATCTTACCTTTAAATATTGGCATAATTCTCTTTGTTTAATATTTAGAAGAAGATGAATTTATCAATGGTACTCAAAGTAATCGTACTATTTTGTTTCTAATATGGATCGAGTTTTTCTTATTCTTCACCTTATATCTATTTCAACAATAATGAATAATTCTTCGATGGAATACATAGTGTACTAGTGTTGTGTTTGAGTTTTCGAAGAAACCTCATAAAAAAAATGCCAATAAACATAACTAATTATTTGTTTTATACTATGTGAGAATAACTTTCAATTTGTTTTATAGAGCTTATTAATACGGTTGTATGTTGTTACAAAATGGAGCAAGTTCATGTCACTTGTCTTTAGGTGGAGAATAAGTTTCAAAACGAAAGACAAAAGCCGCTACTCATTTTGTTATATAATACTTGGTTTTCTAAGATGCGTAATCATATAATGATATTAGAATGAATGAATATCACTGCTTTTAAATTTACCTCTTTTGTTTAAAAACCATTTTAGGCATTGGTGACATGAGATAATATTTGAAAAATAATACAAAGGCTGATATTGGTTGGGTATAGTATTGATGAATGTAAAAATCAGAAAGATCTGTCCTGTAATGAGACAGATCAGCTCAATCTCAAAGAACACGATGCTTTCTATGTTTTATTTTATCGCTGAGATATTGTTTATAGACCATCAAAGATCAAGCAAGTGTAATAAAAAAAAAATGACTATGAGAAACTTACGAGGGAACTATTTCAGGTGCTCCCTCCCCGCCGATTTCAATGAAACTTCATCCGTAGATACTACATAGTGTCCTAGTAAAAACCCTAAAAGGGTTTGAGTGCGAATCGCTTCCTTCAAAAGTTATGGCCATTTTACTGAATTTTCGAACCATTCGTAGGTATTTATCGAAAAAATCAAATCATCGAGTTTCGATCTACCATATTGTCCATAGGTAGGTTTAATGACCCTTAGAATACTCTGAAAGTTTCAACGAAAAAGAATATTCCTTTCTCGAGATATTGAGTTTTCAAGTGAATTCGGTTTTTGTAACCTATCTGTGACAAGCGACTATTTTTTGAAAACTCAATATCTCGAGAAAGGAACATTCTTTTTAGCTGAAACTTTCAGAATATTCTAAGGGTCATTAAACCTACCTATGGACAAAATTGCAGGTCAAAATTCGGTAATTTGATTTTTTCGATAAATACCTACGAATGGGTCGAAAATTCAGTAAAATGGACATAACTTTTGAAGAAAGCGATTCGCACTCAAAAGCTTGTAGGATTTTTACTAGGGCACTATGTAGTATCTATGAACGAAGTTTCATTGAAATCGGCGGGGGCACCTGAAAAGGTTCCCTCGTTAGACAGCTAGTAGTATAAAAATTATTTTAATCCAATGCATGTAATGAGACGCCATCTTCACGGATAAATTCCTTGAATATATTTGATAGATTACATGCTCTAAGTTACTTTAGCATCAGACGGTACTCAGGCTCGAACACAGCACTTTGAAGTGTGTCATAAACCGCATGACTCATAATCATAAATCATATTATTACATGTTATGTAACACATAAGGTATGGTTTCAACTGTGAAAGACTAGAAAAATTTATTTCGAACATCAAAGTTACAAATAATCATTTGGATGGAATTAATTTAAATAACTAAGAGTGTTGCATACCGTAAATTCTGACTAAAAAAGAATTTGCCAGGGATGGGGATCGAACCCATGCTCACTATTGTGAATTGGATCTTAAGTCCAACGCCTTAACCACTCGGCCACCCTGGCACGGAATAGAGTCAGCTAATTCGATCTTGTCAATTGTTATTATACAGTTCCTGATTTTTAATATCCTTTCATTAGAAGAGCTGTCTACATAATTTTAAATGAGTAACTAATAACCAATTTTTAATATGCAATTTAAAAAAGAGACAGGTTTCCTTGTATACAAATTCACGGTCGATCCATCTACTTCCCTGAAGTTGACATATTACTTGACGCAGATGACCATTCTGTCATTTTAAGCAATGACTTGAAATATAAGCAAAAACCAAGTATGTATGTGATGCGTATCTTTCGACCATATTCGAGTACTGATATGAACTAGCCTAAATGTGTTTGAGATTGAAATAATATAAGCTACACACGTGTACATGTATAGAAAGAAAATCGCCATTGCATTAATATTCAATGTAATTGCTAACTTAAGCATGGAAAAGGGCATTTGATATCGTCAATTGAATTTACATATGCTTGTGTTGATCATCATTCGAAAAAGTGAATGTATAAATGCTTGGTTTATTCTGATTTTGATGTCATATGATTCGATTGATATTATCAATAATAAGATATTATTTCTGAAATAAATAAACAACAATACGCTTAGAATTTTTTTGAGTTATAATATCATGAATTAATAGTTGTTTATTGAGTGTGGGTGAACGTGTTCTTTTCATCCACATCTACACCATCCAGATTTGTTAGTTTTCGTTAAAATTTCGTTTCTATCAACATCAATTATTCACTTAATAGTGAAAAAACATCTTTTTTGTATACTTGTTAATAAACAAACAAATGTTTTCTTTTATTCTTATTTAATTAATTGTCAAATGACGAAGTAGTTTTTCATGATTGATCATTTGTTCTAATTTGTTAACCATTTGATCATCTCTTATTGGAACATAAAGACATGATGACCGAAGGTTTTGATGACGATCAGTATTTATTTTTCTCAAAATGTCTCTGACAAATAACTTATAATAAATAGTATTAATCAAATTCATCTTGAGATATGTCATGCGAGGATAATATCTAATAAGAAAATAAGCTTCTTCGATTTCATATATTTGCTGTTCAAGTTAAACTCTTAGAATCTTATTTTTATTTGATACGATTGTGATATTGATAAATAAAATATTTTCAATGAATCAAGTTTAGTTAATACACAGAGAATTTTGATTAATGAACTTGAAAAGATTTTTTCTTTAGGAGTTTTCAAATAATAAATTTTTGTTACTGATAAAACAATACGATTAGCTATTGTTAATTATTCTACGCATTCATTACGAGAAAAAAGCGTCACAGTCAGTTGAGTGGATTTTGAAAAGTCAATCAAAGAATTCATATAATACCATTTTTTTTAAATGATAAAAAAATATGCCAATTTCTAATACTACTTTTTGTTCAATCCAAAATAATGAAATGAACAGTTTAACACGTTTTAAATGTGTTAAAGTTTCAGATTCATCATCAATCTTTTTATAACATTTTAGAAAAAATTCTTTCAAATGGAGTAAATAATCTAATATCAATCTTTCTCGTCGATTAACATCACGTTAGTCTTTCTTATCGTATCGATTAATAACACATACAACTTTTTCTAATAAATATTTCAAATATATCAAATATTGTATCATAGTTTTTTTTTATAGAAATATCTGTTACATTGAATAATCTAATTGGTAATATTATGTCACTATTTATCTGATGATCATATACCTCTTCACAATACAAATGACGAAATGGAAGTGTATATGATATAGTAGTTCAAAATTCATTAAATGTGTATACATTCCAAAAGATTCGTTCGAAGTCACAAAAATTGTTGCAAAGAGAATAAAAAAAAAATTTTAAATAGAATCCGAAAAACATGGATCAATCTATCAAAATCCAATGTGTGTTTATCTTTGATGATGAACTATTTTGAAGAGAAGTATCGGCAAAATACCTGGAGGTGTGCAGGTATGGATGTGAGATGTCTTATCTTCATCCTACACTTACACCTTGATTATAAAAAATTCGAAATCAAATTGATTCGATCAGGACTATTTTGCTGTTATTCAGCTGCTCTATAAGCTTTTTAAAACGTATTCTAGGTAGTTTTGAAAGAAAACATAAGTTGAAGCATGGAAGATTACTCTTTGAACTTCATCATGAATTCGATGTAACTATATTCATATTTATTGACATTGCTGCATAGAATACTAGTAATGATCAAGATATTTACATGTTTCAAATGAAGTACCAGGATAAAACATCATCGATAATCTCGAACTATGTTGAATCCGGATGTTCAAAGTAAATACTTTACAAAAGTTAATACGATACAACTGATGAATAAGTTTCTTGTCTATTAACATTACTGAAACTGTTGGTCTAGATGTTGAGATTAGATCATCACATTTTCAGATTCTAAAATTTGATTCAAACAAAACCAATAAAACTATAGTTTTCAAAAGAGAAATTTATATTTTATTTTTAGAGTAAATTTGCAATCTTTTTTGACAGCAATCTAATCGTAAAATAATAGTTCAATATCAGTTTAACCCATTAAGAAAAATGAACAGAATATACATTTGCCTCAATCATTGTCTATTAAATTAACTTTGACGTTAGCTTATAATATTAGAATATTAATGTTATTACAAATGAACTAATAAAATAGTCGATAAATATGAAGCATATGAATATGTTGTTTTCTTCACTTGCAATCATGAACTTTAGTATATATTCAACTTAATGGAACAATACGAATAACATAACAAACTTTTTTTACCAAAATTTATCTGGATACTAGCACCAATCAAGATATTCAAGGTAAAGAAATCAACGCTGATCATTAATATGAACATCTGCGTTGATATCTTATATTGAGCAGTGTATCATTAACTGCAATATTGATTTACTGATACATTCTATTGCTTCTTTCTCTGTCTTACTTTAGTCCATTGTATTATCGTTATTTACTTGTCACTATA